TTCCTTCCTTTTTCCTTCTTTCTTTCTTTTTTTTTTTTTTTTTTTTTTTTTTTTTTTTGAGAGTGTTTCAAGACAGAGTTTCATTGTGTAGCCCTGGCTGTCCTGTAACTTGCTTTGTAGATGAGGCTAGCCTCGAATTCATGAGATCCTCCTGGCTGTGATGCCCAAGTGCCGGGAATAAAAGCATGCACTGCCAACACTGCCTGACTTGAGACAGGATCTTTCTATATAGCCCAGGCTGGCTTCAAAGTCAATCTTGCCTCAAGCTTCCTAGCTGCTCAGATGTACGAGTGTGAGCCAGCATTCCCAACTGTATTATTTATGTATTAGTAATATGTGTTAATATAGCATAATTGTGATTGATTTATAATATCAAATCATAATATCAATTTTGCATGTGGCTATAGTTATTAACAACATACTGATATTTTCGGGGTTAATAATTACTGGTCAGTTTTATTTTCTGAGGACCTTCTTTAAGCTAGCCTGTTTGCCACTTTCATTTGTTTTTTTCTTGTAGTGCTGGGAATAGAATCTAGGGCCTCAGACATACCAGGCAAGTGCTTTTCCACTGAGCCACACCCCAGCCTCTCACTGGGGGATTCTAGACAGGGGCTCTACCACTAAGCTATATTCCCAGCCCTTTTGGTTCTTTTGTATTTTTGTTTTTGTTTTTTTGACTTTTGAGACAAGATCTTGTATAGCCCAGGCTGGCCCTGAACTAGCTATCTGCCTGAGAATGACTTTGAAGTCCTGATCCTCCTACCTCTACACCCTGAGTTCCAGGTTTCTGGTGTGTAGCACTTTCTAGTCATGTTCTGAGGGAGCACAGCAGTGTTCTGAGGGAGCACAGCAGTGCTCTGAGGAACATGGGGTAGCTGGCCATATTTTAGAGAGCATGAAACTGAGGCTCCCAGCCGGGCATGTGGCATATACCTGTATTCTCAGCAGTCAGAGGACTACACAGTCGGAGGGTTTCTGTGACCCAGCCTGGTCTTGACAAGAAAGGGAAGCCCTGTCTCAAAATCTCATAGGGCTAGGAAGATGGCTTGCTGTGTAAACTTGAGGACCTGAGTTTGATTTCTCCAGAGCCCATACATAAAGACTGGGCATGGGAACATGCCTGAAATTCAAGAACTGGAGAGGCCGAGACAGGCTGGTCCTTGGGGCTTGCTAGCCCGCCTGCCTATCCAAGTTGGTGTGTTCTAGGTTTCGAGGACGACCCTGTTTGAAAAGTAATAAGAGTAGAGGCCATTAGGTGGCTCAGTGGGTAAGGCGCTTGCCACCAAGCCTAACAACCTGGCTTCCATCCCTGGAAACTTCATGGTGGAAGGAGAGTCTTACCTCTCAAGGTGTCCTGCAGGCCTTGACAGTACCCTGACACCCACAAAGTAAATAAAGCATAGATAAAGGAGCAAGAGATAAGGATACTTAACACCCACTTCCAGCCTCTGCACTCATGTTACACAAGTGCACACACACACACACACACTGAGGTTCCAAGGTGAGGTCAGCTGGCTAGGTGACTGGTTCTTCTGTGTCTTCCATGTGACCTTAGATGTTCCAGCTCTGTGACTCAAGACAAAGTCCACTAGGTTTTTCCCAGATCCTTAAGGCTGAAGTCTGGGAGGTGTCTAGCCAGGGTGGATGGAACCTGTGTGGCCACTGAGGGCACATTCTGAGCCACCCTCCCCTCCCTTCCATTCTACGAAGGGGAAAACAAAGGTTTTGTTGGAAGGGACAGGATTTGCTTCAAGACACGGGGTAGCCAGAGTCAGCCTCCATCACAGGAGAACACGCCTGTGCAGAAGGGGCTTGCCGGGTCCTGGATGCTGGTCCAGCACTTCTTCCTTCCTTCTTTCCTTCCTTCCTTCCTTCCTTCCTTCCTTCCTTCCTTCCTTCCTTCCTTCCTTCCTTCCATACTTCCTTTTTTTCCTTCTTTTTGGTTTTTCAAGACAAGGTTTCCTCTTTGTAGCCGTGGTGTCCTGGAACTTGTGTGGTGTCCTGGAACTTGTTCTGTAGACCAGGCTGTCCTTGAACTCACAGACCGCCTGCCTCTGCCTCCTGAGTGCTGGGATTAAAGGCGTGAGCCGTCACCTCCCGGCTAGTGCAGCATTTCTTTCTGGCATCAGCTGGCTGGGGAAAGACCAGCTTTGCTGCCTCCTTCCTGTCATCTTCTGTCTCTCCCTCCTGCAGGGACACGTGGAAGAGCTGTGGGGCCTGGCCACGCATCCTAGCCGGGCACAGTTTGTGACCTGTGGGCAGGATAAGCTGGTGCATCTGTGGAGTTCAGAGGCCCACCAACCCCTGTGGAGCAGGACCATTGAGGTAATGGGATGGGAATGCAGACATAGGAGTCTGCAGAAATTGCTGCTGTTCGGACCTCAGGGCTCAGCACATCAGATGGATGCTACACATGATCTTTTTAAGAAGGGTATCTTGCCAGGCAGTGGTGGTGCACACCTTTAATCCCAGCACTCAGGAGGCAGAGGTACTCAGATCTCTGAGTCCAAAGGCAGCCTGGTCTACAGAGTGAGTTCCAAGACAATCAGGGCTACACAGAGAACCCTGTCTCAAAAAACAAAAACAAAATGAAAAAAAAAAAAAAAAAGGCATCTTGCCAGGCAGTTCTTATGTTAGCACGCTCAAGAAACGGGAATGGCCCCTGGTGGTTTCTGGAAGGCGTGGGAGAGCAGAGAGGACCTCAGGCTATGCTAGTTGGTTCTGAGGCTAGGGAGTACCTGGTCTTTGGGACCCCACCTTTTTTCTCTTCCTTTCCAGGACCCTGCCCGTTCAGCTGGCTTTCATCCCAGCGGCTCTGTCCTGGCAGTGGGCACAGTGACCGGCAGGTACTGCTGAACAGACCAGACCTTTACCAGTTTCTTTTTCTCTTGCCCTAAAGCCCTTAGAGCCCCTCACATTCTAAACCAGCTGCTTCAGTCCTAAGGGCCTGCCTGTAGCCCCGCCCCTTGCAGCCGGTGTATCCCCGTGTGGGGCTCTGCCCGCCTATTTGAAATGGCATGGACTTCTAAGTGGCAGGAGGACAGAGAAGAGGAAAATGTTGTTCAGCTCTGCCCATCCTAGCCTGACCCCCTGACTCCCCACTCCTCACGGTCTGGCTCCATCCAAGGTAGCTTGGCCCTGCCCCTCAATTCTGCCCTGCCTTATCAACAACAGCTCATCCGCCCCCCCTCCTCCCTTCAAGGTGGTTGCTACTGGACACAGACACCCATGACCTGGTGGCTATCCACACAGATGGGAATGAGCAGATCTCCGTGGTCAGCTTTTCCCCAGGTAGGCCTGGGGTACTGGTGAGGCAGGGTCATTGGGACCAAGGTTCAGAAATGCAGACTGGGGGGGTAAAAGGCTACAGTTTCCCCCCCCCCATGGGAGGGGCTAGTCATGGAGGGAGGCGGAGCCTGGGACTGTGGAGGAGGGGATGAGTCTGGGAGAGAAGGGGGCAGAGTCTGGGTGCCTCCTCATAGCCCCTCCCCCTCCCCAGACGGGGCGTACCTGGCTGTGGGCTCCCACGACAACTTGGTGTACGTGTACACGGTGGACCAGGGTGGCCGCAAGGTCAGCCGCCTGGGCAAGTGCTCGGTGAGTGGGCAGTGGTCCCCAGCCCGCGCCACCACCCCAACCAGTGGGGTGCAAAATTAACCATTTTTCTACCCCAAGGGAACTACAGCTTCAGAACTCAGCTGATTTTTTTTTCTTGCCCTGACTATGTCAAGGCGTCTCAGATTGCCCCCATCCTCATCTCTTACTGTGTTCTTAGTCACCCCTTTGTGAAGCCCAACCCTCACTTTCCAAGCCCCGACCTCATTTGTAGCCCCGCCCCTGCATCCTAAACCTCTCCCTCCATCCAAAGAGCACCTCTGTGTAGCCACGCCTACCACGTTCAAACCCCACCCCCTGTGTGGAGTTTTCCCCATTGTCTGAGCGCTTTTTGTCAGCCCCACGCTGTCATGGTCTGGCCCCGCCCGTAGTAGTCTGGCCCCGCCCCTACTCTCAGAAGGCCTTTGTATTCCCCCCCCCCCCCCCC